TTCATCTATCGGATGTAGTGTCCGATTTAGTTCTTTTGAGACAGAATTTTTTTCACCAACGAGAGGGTTGTGTCAAGGTGACCCTTTGTCACCATATTTATTCTTGATGGCAGCTGAGAGTCTGTCCTGCATGTTACGAAAAGCTGAGGAAAGGGGTGAGTTGGAGGGGGTGAAAGTTTGTAGAGAAGCGCCAACAATTTCCCAACTCTTATTTGCAGATGACTCGCTTATATTGATGCAAGCAGACAAAAAGAATGCTGATTGTCTAACATGCATTTTGAACAGATATTGTGCAAGCTCAGGACAAAAAATTAGCGAGGCAAACTCGAGCATTTATTTCTCAGCAAATACAGAAGTTGAAGCTAAGATAGAGGTATGCCAAGTTCTAAATATCATGACAGAATCTTTGAATGATAAATATTTGGGACTGGCATCGATGGTGGTAGTTGACCGTAGTGATTGCTTCTATCACTCGATAGATAGGGTGATGACCCGTATAAATGGGTGGAAGGAGAAGACACTCAGTTTGGGAGGAAAGGAAATTCTTATTAAGTCCATTGCTCAGGCCATCCCAGTTTATACGATGATGGTTATTAAAATTCCAAAAACACATATGCAAAGGAATCACAAATGCTATCTCGCAGTACTGGTGGGGGATGACGATCAACATAAGAGAATTCATTGGCAGGAGTGGTGGAAGATATGCTTGCCGAAAGGTAAGGGTGGTATGGGATTCAGGGATCTCTAGTCTTTTAATTTGGCAATGTTAGCCAAACAAGTTTGGAGTGACCCAGATTCACTTTGTGCCCGAGTCCTTAGAGCTCGATATTATCCTAATGGTAATTTGATGAAGGCTAGAATAAAGAGTGGGAATTCGTATACTTTGCAGAGTGTTCTAGTGGGGCTTGATTGTTTCACACAAGGTTATATATGGAGAGTTGGGGATGGCTCCTAGATAAATATTTGGGAAGATCATTGGATACCAAGAAGTCGCAATCCGAAAATTCAAACGGACAGGGGAAATAATTTAGTGTCTACGGTTGATGAGTTAATCAATCCAGTAGCGTCATCTTGGGATGTAGACCTGGTGAAAGCTATCTTTTGGCCGGTGGATGCCTACCGAATTTTGCAAATTCCTATCACATATGGAAGAGAAGATTTGGTGGCTTGGCATTTTAATACAAGCGGCCGGTTTTCTGTTCGGTCGGTCTATCATTGTCAATGGAATAGCAAGTTTGGACAGAGATATGATCAAGTGCAAGCATGTACTGTTTCAAAGAACCAGCTGTGGAAGAATTTGTGGAGATTGAAAGTACAAGGGACATTCAAGATTTTTGGGTGGCGGACGCTAAAAGATCTTATGCCTTGTCGAGCTACCTTGGCTAATAGACATATAGGGGAATCAGTAACCCTGGGCAAAAATAACAGAGAACCAAAAACTAAACCGAAAGAACCAAAACCAAAACCGAACTAACCAAAACCAAATATTTCGGTTCCTAGTTCGGTTCCCAGTTCTAAGCATTGTTCGCCTAAACGGCCGTTTAGCCCGTTTACACACCGTTTAAATGCTACACGGTGGTACACCGTTTCCGTTTAATCAGTTGTTTTGACCGTTTAAACGGCCGTTTTTCCCGTTTAAACACCCGTTTTGCCCCGAATAATGGGCTAAACGGTAGGTGACCGACTGTTTACCGTTTAACGTTTAGGATAACATTGGTTCTAAGTAACCGAAATAAGTCCGATTAGTTCGGTTCTTGGGCTCGGTTAACCGAAATAACCGAAGTAATGGATGAGGCCTAGTAATCACAAAGAAAAGGCCCATCCCAACCAACCTTTTGTATATATACAAGCACCCCAAACCCTAAAGGCCCAATGGCCCACTCCACTCATCCCTCCCAGTCGCCACCAGGAGTACTCCATGACTCCTAGGACCCCAGCGGCGCCAGCCCTCCTCGCGCCTCGTCGCGCGCCCTTCTCCTTCCCTCCTCCCAACCCTGTTCCCGCTCCTCCCGCGACCAAAGTGGGACCGCGCCCCACTCTGCTGCTCTTGCTCCTTCCCTACCACCACGAGCCTACGAGCTGTGCCTACCACCATGAGCCCGCAAGCTGTGACCAATCGAGCTGAGGAGCAAGGGGCAGCCTAGTGCCTCCTCTGGCAGGTTCGCGGCAGCTCGTAGCGGCCGTTGGCTAGCGCATCTATGGTCTCTGGAAACAGAGGCAAATCTCCCCCTTTTTCTGTGATTTTTTTGCTACTTGTGTAAATTCTTGGTTAGTTCGGTTGGAACCGGAACCGAACCGAACTAACCGAAACCAATTTTGCTCGGTTCCAAGATTTGTGAAGAACCGATCGGTTCCTATTTATAGAGAACCGAATTTGTGTCAAAAACCGAGGAACCAAACCGATCGGTTTCGATTAACCGAATGCCTAGGGCTAGGAATCAGGAGGATGTCCAGTTTGCCAAAATGGAGCGGAAGACATCAAATATATGCTTTTCACGTGTGATCGTGCAAGAGAAGTCTAGAGATCGCTTGGCACCTGGGAGAGATTACAACACTCCCTTGCCACCGATCGGTCAGGTTCAGTAATCATCGAAGATATCATAAGAAGAGAAGAGCAGGTTGATGCACTAGATGTGGGATTGGCTGAATTAGTCCTTGCCGCTGGATAAATGGGGAGATCATCCAGCGACCCTCAAAATCAGCTATGTCCATTGCGATGTTAACAAAGAATTATAAAGCAGCAATGAAGAAAAGTTCACAGATACGGTAGGGATGGATGAAGCCTCCAGAAGGAAAAGTGATGGTGAATGTTGATGTGGCCTTTAATGAAGATGGGGGGGGGTGCGGCAACGTGGGAACAATTATAAGGGACAATACCAATGGAGTCCTAGTTGCTTCCCACAGCTTTGTGCCGCACTTAGTAGATTCACCGATGGCAGAAGCCTATGCTTTGAAAGAAGGGTTGATGCTTGCACAACACATAGGGTGTAATCGACTAATTATCCAATCAGACTGTATGGAGGTCGTTCAGACAATGAATGACGGAGGTTTCATGGCAAAATTCGGCAGCGGCTTTATACGATGAGTGCATTACAATATGGAGCGGGTTTCAGGACATAACAATTGAGCATTGTAATAGGCAGGCAAATCAAGCGGCACAACTTAGCAAGAAGAGCGATGCAGTCAAAGCAAAATTGTACTTGGGACGACGAGTCCCCTAGTTTTATCCTTGATCTTCTTTGTGAACGATGTAACTATCTTGATTGAATAAAGTCTGCCGTATTGTTTCAAAAATAAGATGTGAGTATAAAATTTTACCTATGAATACTTGACGAGTATCCATAATTTTAAAATAAAAAATATATAAATAAATATGTCACCTTTTTAATGCCTTAACCAAAACACACCCCCTTAAACACGAAAACCTAGGGAGGAATAAAAGCTTGAAAGTGGGTTTTTTTTGTTGGGGGGCAAGCATAATCACAAAACCAAAGCTCCTCTAGTTGCCTACATGCTATTTCAGAAACCATTGAAGATTCAAATAACTCCAAGCTAGGCACTAGAAGACAGAGTCTTATTATTAAGAATAATCTAAATTTGGTTTTATATTTTTCTAAGCTTAAAAAGATTGCAATAATAATTGGGGTTTTATGTTTTTAGTTACATAACTTTTCAAAAAAAATGGTTGACTTTTTTTAAAAAATATCATAGAAGTTTTTTAAGACTATTTGACCTCTTAAACTATCAATGCAATCTAATTGACATCTCGCAGTTGACATGGCATTATGTAGGCTAAAATCACCATCAGAACCAGTTAGAGGTATCATTTGTGCGCTATTAGACAATTTGAGATGTAGGATATTTGATTTTGTTACTTCGAGATAGAAAAACAGGTGGTATTCAATAGTTGATGAAGGTCAAATAGGCTTTGGCCTTTGAAATCAGGAAAAAGTGCATTCTTACTCTTGAATTGTCACCGTAGTCTGATTTTCCTCGTCAAACTTTAAAATCAGATATCTTATCCCTCTAGACTCTCAAAACCATCTAAAGTACCTCCCTACCCTAGTTTGAAATGGTTTTGAAGGCGTTTTGTCCTTTTTATTACAGAAACCTAGTTAATACTTGATAATGGTTGTATAAAAGGGCAGACCCAGTGCCGGAGGCTCCCACATGAGTGGTGTCTGGGGAAGGGAAAAACCGAGGCAAGCCTCCCCGCAAAATCTACGGAGAGGCTGCTTCGAACCCGTGACCTGGTGACTCAGTGAGACAGCTCTCACCACTGCACCAGGCCTGCCCTTAGAAAAAAAATCTCTAAGTTTCTAAAAAATACAAAAAGATAGATTCCGATATGACAAATCCAAAAAAAGGTTTAGATATCATGAAAATGTCTCTAGTTGCTTTTAAAAAATACATTTAGCTCTAGGAAAATGTAAAAGATATCCAAAAATTCCAAAACCTTCTAATTGATATCTAAACATGTATTGAAAACTTTTTGCAACAAAAATATACTACACAACTAGCATGAATGCATCGGCTCTAAACAAATGTTTATACATCGATTAGAGTTTTGGAGTCTAGATTTTAATGGATACTTTTCCATTTGCCTTGAGCTAAATTTATTTTTTTGAATTTTCTAAATATGCTTTCATGAGCTCGGAATATTTTGTTACATTTTTCTATCCAAATCTATCTCTTGATCTTTTTGAAAATTTTAAAGCTTAAAGACATTTTTTAGCTCAAAGGGGACAAAACCGTCCTCAAAATCAATAATTTGAATGGCTATAGTTTATGAACTTTTTCTTAGTTACTCATACAGTCATACTCTATTTTGGCCCGGCCCATATCAGTACAGAGGCCCGATCCATATACTTCCACGAAACCCTAGCACCTCCTATATATAGTTTCTCTCGTGCCACTTTCTCGAGCTTCCCCTCACGCACGCCGCTGCAGCAGCCGCCGCCGCTACCGTCCCGCACCTCGCTTCCTCTCCCGTCGCCGTGATGGTACGCCGCTTCTCCTCTTCCTCCCATTCTTCCCGTGACCAAGAATCTGCGTACGGTGGATGCCTAGTTCTGGGCGTTTGTTATTATGTGTCGCGCGAGATCCTATTGGTTGACTTGGTAGTCCAGCAGCTTCAGCTCGATATGAATTCGGAGGCTTTATACTTTAGCTTTCAGGATAGGGGCGTGCCAACAATCATGCTTTGGATCAGTCGTGTTTCCATGGAAATTGAAGGTCTTAGGGTACCCAAATAGGCCTATGTGAAACTAATGAGGTGGTATTGTTAGCATGACAGAAACACTAGAATTCTGTAATAGCTTGTGCTAAAAGTGCAATTTGTTGCTAGCCTGTTGGTAGGGTCGTGCGAGTAGTTAGATTTTGCTAGCCTGTCAGTAGCCTGGATTGTGCAATTTAGCGTTGCACAATGCCTTTTGTGAAGTGTAGGTTTGGAGCAGTTGCTACCTCAGGTTTGCCATGGTGAGGTGCCCAAAACCTGCTACGCTAAGGGTAGGAAGCAAACTATTTGCCTACAACCTGTTTGTACTCCACGTTTGAGTCCTAGATAGGCTTAGCCCTTCAAATGCTATTGGTGATCATACATTAAATGGAAACATGTTGAAGGCAGTGGTGTACTCCCTCCGTTCCAAATTGTAAGATGTCTGTGCTTTTCTAGAGACATAGCTTGTACTATGTATGTAGACATAATAATGTATATCTAGGTGCATAGCAAAATCCATGTATCTAGAAAAGCTGGAATGTCTTACAATTTGGAATGGAGAATGTATTTTATTAGCCGACTCCTAATGTCAATTACTTGTCACTTCTGATTTTGCATGGTCTCAAAGATTTGGTTTTGACCATTTGCTACAACATTGTATCTGTAAGAAATTTTTGATATTGTAAATACTTATTATCATAAATCTGGATGTATCAATATAGCATCGCCAACCTAGATGCTTAAGATATCTTATTTGGTAGATTTTAATTATAATGTTTACCAATCATACACAATGGTGACAAGTATATGTGAATGTGCATAGTATTTTATCAGCTTTTTGAGGTGTGCTCTATGTTTGGTTTTCATCATGAGTGCTTATGCAAGTTCAAGCATATTGGAAAAATACATTGTTGGTTTAGTATAAAGACAAACTAGTTCACCAATTTGGATGAAAAATAAAACATTTTTCATAAGTCCAACTTGGTCACCTGACACCTTTGCTGTGTAATCTGAAGCCCCTGTGCTGCACCAGGCAGCATGAAACATGAAAGTAGTATGCAGTGCTAAGTTTAGCCCTTGAATACCTCATGTAATCAGTGGCTTATAATACCCTTTTTTTCACTTGTGTTGATTTTAGTTGTTATTCCTTTATTCAGATGTATATAGGGTAATTTTTCTCTTGCTGCTATTGGAGAGTCAATAGCGACTAGCTGAACTGTATGTTTTTTAATGGTTTACTTATCTAATAATGTTTAAGTAATTATATTTTTGCTCTTGTGTTAACTGTTAACCTACCTGATTGGTACAATCTTTTATACTGAATTATTGATACTAACTTTAGTCTTGAAGTTACAGTTTTACAGTTACCAGTAATATTGCCTTGAACAATTTTAGTGAGCAGCTGTGTAATTTATTATGTTTTTATAATGCCTATGCAGACGAAGCGCACCAAGAAGGCCGGCATTGTTGGCAAATATGGTACATGCTTAATAAATATGACATTTCCCACATTTGTGCGTCTGGAGTATGAAGTTAACCTTGCAAATTACAATGTTGCAGGAACCAGGTATGGTGCTAGCTTGCGTAAGCAAATCAAGAAGATGGAGGTATCTCAGCACTCCAAGTACTTCTGCGAGTTCTGTGGGAAGGTATGTCACCTGAGTTTTCTGTTTTTTGATCTGTTATACTGCAAGCTGTCTTTACGTATTGTCACCAGTACTATGATGTTATGAACTGTAGGCTGCAGATTGATTTTGAGCACAAAAGCAATCGTTCTTGAATATATTTGTTTGTTTATTCTCACATTTGAATGGTTTAGGCATGATTAGCAATTTGTTTCTAAGATAGATGTGAACTACTAGTTGCCCTAGTGTCCCACATTTGCTGTGTTGTCTTTCCAGTTTGCTGTGAAGAGGAAAGCAGTTGGAATTTGGGGATGCAAGGACTGTGGGAAGGTCAAGGCTGGTGGTGCTTACACCATGAAGTAATTCTTTGGTGACTCGCATCTTGCGTCCCAAAACCATAATTTGTCAAGCATGATTATAATTCTGTTGTGTATTTGCAGCACTGCTAGCGCGGTCACTGTCAGGAGCACAATCCGTCGTTTGAGGGAGCAGACTGAAGCATGATAAAGCTCTTGTTAGGCATATTGGGGTTCTAGTTGCATCACACTTTATTGGCTGTTTGGCCGAGATAATGCTCCAGCGTTTTTGGTTTATGCTCTAGGATCTCTAAAAGTTGGGTGCTAAGATTTGTACTTGGTTACCATTGTGAATTTCACAAGTGATATCTGATCCTATTCCTGTCTTAATGACGTCAAAATTGGTTGTGGTCCCCCTCAAAAAAAAAAAAAATGGTTGTGGTCCACCCTTTGGTTGTGTCATTGGTTTGCAATTCCTTTTTCATTAAAAATTCTACTTATAATGCTGCCTGTTCTCATAATCAAAGAGATCTTGACTGGCCTGGTGGTTGTACTAGGCAGCGTCACAAACTCACAATGCACCAGTGCAATCGAACGAATTCAACCTTCTATGTGCACATCGACACTGAATCGTCAGATATCCTGTTTAGGCTACGCTGCTCTTCCACAGTTCCACTGCGCGTACTGTGTGATTATGATTGTTGAACTTCAAAAGTTCGGTGATGTGGTGTTACCGTGGGATCTTTCAAGTTCAGCTCACGACGCGTAGCACCTCGGTTAGCTGAATTTTTAGTTGTCTACATGTGGCAGTATTGATAGTCTGCTAGCTGAATTTTTTAGTTGTCTAAATGTGGCAGTATTGATAGGCTGCCATCTTCAAATCTTCTGAGAACCTTCGCCCTGTTCGCTTGGACTTGTTTGACTGATAAGCTATGGCTGAAAGTATTGTTGGCTGATTTGGTGTGAGAGAAAAATACTGTTCGTTGGGTGAAAAAGTATGGCTTATAAGTCAAACAAGCCCAAGAGAAGGCGCTTGACATATGGCACTAGGTCAGTAGTGATTGTTGCCTTTTTTTTGCGACAATGATTGTTGCCATTTGATGTACATGTTGCATCGGCCCCTCTGTCATAGAAAGTTGTTGTACACGTCAAAGTTTATCCTAAAAAGTTGGAATTACTATTTTATTTTTAATTAGAAACTATTATTTTAAACTTGTTTCTCATAACTTTAGCTCGAGCCCTCCCTGTAATTGCACCGCCCCGCGCCGTACCTCGCCCTAGTTGACGCCTCTGACCTGTCACCACGATAGTATGACATTTCTCTTCTCTCGTCCTCCCTCCGTTCTTCCTCATGCCGTCTCTTGATCTCTTCTACCGTCCCCCCCCCCTCCGTTCCTCCCTGTTTGTCCTCCCTCCATTCCCCGCATGCTAGAGTACTTAAGTTCTGCGGGTTTGCCTGCATAGATCTGGGGCATACTAGGTGTCTCCAAATATAGTTGGCCCAAGGCACCGCATGACAATCTCATTTTGAACACAACTTTCCTGGTATGGTATGGACAATTCATTGTCCTTGCTAGATAGTCCGACATGCTAGTACAAACTCATCTCAACCACCCAAACCTGTCCTTTTAGCTCTGTTGGACAGTCCGACACCCATGACGGAAGATCCGACAATTGTTGAACCATACCAGTCTTAACCAGTCAGAATTATGCTGGTGATAGTCCACTAGGACAAGGTGACACCTAGCAAATATATACAGTGAGCTATCCGTTGACACCCTTCCCGACCCCATATGCTAGGCCTCACTTTGACCAACTCGCACATGTCAAACGGTCCGCATATCACCCACGGACAATTCATCAGAACGCATTGACACCTTCACCCAAAACCTACCAGCATGTCTCCCTCTTCCTCCCCACGTTACACACACGCACACACACGCACGCGCGTGTGCACATACACACAACTGGTGTGCAGAACATAGACGCCCTGTTAACTTGAACTTATCAAACATGGTACAATGTTTTTCTCTCACAACAAAACAACATCAGCCAGCTTATCCATCAGCCGAACAGGACCAGAGAAGAAAGAAGAATAAGGAGGAAAGAAGAGGAGAAAGGTTGCCCCATGCTAGAGGACCTTGGTGACTGAGCTCCTCCATGCCCTAAACCTTGCTAAAGTTGGAGTAGGCTATCTCCAAGACATCTTCCTTAAGTCCATGGTGGTGCCCCAAGGTCTACTATAAAGAGGAGCTAAGATGAGTTGCTTGACCTAGGCATATCTTAGAGAGTTAAGAGTGGTGCACACTTGTGAAAGTTGATACAAGCATACTAAATAGCGTTGGTAGCGCCTGCAATAGCGGCCCTCTACTGCTACTACTATAAGGTAGCGGATCAAAGATACTGTAGTATGTTGGAACTAGCGGCCGCTACAACACTTAGGATTAGATTATTGCAAACCGCTATTGCTGTTGTTTGCTCACTATTCACTAGGTTGATGGTTAAAATGATGATGTTGATGATTCCAATGATAATAAAAATATTAAAATAGTAATTTAGACCATCATAATGAATGATGAGATGATTAATGATATCATTTCAATTGATATGAGAACTTAATGATAATTTGTCTCCACATCTCTTCTTTATATCTTATTCATTTAAATGCATTTATTCGATAATGTAATAATTAACTAAAAACTTCTAATTATTTAAGTAAACATGATATTACTAGTGGCATGGCATATGTTCCAAACATTAAATATTCCACTATAGCATCTGCTATCCGTGATCCACTATACAAACATTAATCCGCTACAAAACTGCTATCTACTATTTATTATCAGCATGGCTTATCAGCCCCAGCTATGGTAGAATGTTTTTCTCCCACAACAAAACAATATCTAGTCGGCTTATCAGCCGCAAAAACTATCAGCCGAACAGCTAGATTACCTTAGATACAAGGTACCTAAAGGATGGCCCAGAAATGACAATGATTTGATTAATGACTCAAAGAAGATGAATTAGAAGTCTGAAGTCAAGAACACCAATTAGAGCATTTCCTAGTGACACCGCAGCATTTGTTCAAGGCCATCGCATCATCCAATGATATTGTGTAAACGCTGTTCTATTTGGTGCACAATTTTGTTTTTTTATCATTGTATTATCCGGTGATGGAAGTTTGGCTACAACAGACGATCTGGTGTTCGCTCGGCGCCCCTTGTGCCGTGCCATTAGTCCTCACGCTCGCTCAGCAGTTTTTTTTTTAAATCTCAGTCGGGTCATTTCTTTAAAGTCTGACACACAGTGACGGAACCAGAAATTTTGATTAATAAGGGCCGGACAAACATGATTGCATCTCATAAGTATGATAAGTATACAACAAATGCATGTCTCAGCAACTTTTTTAATACTTGTACACATGTAGTTAGGATTCATAACGGAAAATCATAATATTAAGATCGAAAATCATAGTAAATTGATGATTTACTATACTATGTATTAAAATATTTACTGGATATTAATATTTTTTCACTGTGTTAGGGGGGCCATGGCCCCTGCCAGCCCCCCTTGGTTCCGCCACTGCTGACACATTCGTTGTAAAGTTTTATAAAAGTCTGGTTTTGTACAGTTCTGTTTTGTTTTCTACTTCAGTATAACAAATAAACAAATAAGTAACAGTGGGTATCCGAGAACAAAAAACATTGCTCGAACCTCCAATGCAAGCGATCAGTTATGGAGCACCAAACAAAACCATAAGCTGAATATTTGGTTTGTCCTAATCTTGCCATGCATAAGCTCAGTCAGACCACAATTTCACATAGTTGTTTAGTTGACTAATGCTAGATCATGCCAAATAGCAGCTACATTCCAGAGTCTGTGGCAATGAGCAACCAAAGAAGCCCCCATTCATATGCAGATTGTAGTACAACACCCATATTTCGTATTGGGACTTCTCGATAGAAACATTATCCAAGTAATTCCTTCATGAAAGAAAGAAGAAACAGTCAACATTTCAAATGCTTCCACTCTACTTTTTCCGAAAGAAAGCTCTATGCTTGAGCAAAAGCACATCTATGCTCAAAAACATGTTGGTTTTGCAAACATACATTATTGTTGTGGAAGAGCTATCACACATAAAACATGGGAATAAGAGCCATGGTATTCACTAAACACTATTAGGCATTAACACTAACAAAACAATGAAATGATAATCTGGACTTCGTTTCAATCAAAACAATAATACTGGAAGCAACTTCCAAGCACAACCTGAAAGTCCCTACCAACAGATGTCCACAAAGAAAATCAAGAAAAACCAGGGCTCCAAATTGTCAAACCACGTCAAGATTATCCCAATCATGGTGTGAGTTTCTCTAACCACGTCAAGATTATTTCAGCTCCTTTATCCCACGAGCAATCTAACATCATGTCATGAGCTACACCTTCCACACATACTGGTTGCACTCCGTAAAATCTTGAAGTTTCATAAAGCCCTTCAGAATCCTAATTCCAGAACATAAACAGATTAACAAGGAAGGAAACAAATTGTTTCTTATGTACATTATACAGGAAAGTAAAGCAGTCAAGCAGGTGTACCACCATGCTTGCAGGTAAGTCAGTAGAAGGGTTAGTTACATTGTAAATTTATTGTGGAGGGAGAGAGCTGAGGGGAGGTTCACTCACAACAATGAAATCATTTCTTGCACCCATGACAAGAATTTCTGTGGTACTTTGTGGCACAGAAGGTACAGGCAATGATGCATTTAGCTTCCGTAAGTCAAACAGTGGCAATTTTGAGCTCTCCTTCATTAATGCTTGGTACCTTTAAGACAGTGATGCAGTATGTTATGTTGTGACTGAAGACACAATGAGAATGCAATCCATAAACAATAGGTTCGCCAAGAGTTCTCCATGTCCAATTTCTCATACATAAAAATAATAAAATCATTGATTTGTGGAAGCAAAGGTGAAATATGACAACAGAAGGAGAAGCACCTCATGCAAAAATAAACTATGAACACCCCTCTAGTTATGATGGCTACTACTACTGCAACTATCACTTAGGATTACCACTACTACTATAGGCCACTCCTCTAAAATAGCATGAATTGATGTCCACAAAAAAAGCTATAGGTATTAAAGGTGGCATGGTCCAAAGAGTCATTGACTCATGGAAGCAGGATATAACCACAATTCAGAATAAATCACTCACCCATTGACTACGAAACTGAAGGTACTGTTGCATCCAAGGTACCATAGGTGCCAAGTTCATGGTGCTAAAGACTATAACCTCATTTTCGAAAGAATATATTAGAGTGCAAAATGAACTGCCAAACATCTCATTACCTTAACACAAGTTCATCATCCATTTGTGCTGAGAAAAATGTTTCCTTACAGAGCGACAATGAATTTGCATATGCTTTTGCAGCCAAGCTGAGAGTCACCTGATAGAAAGTTTATTAAGATTTTAGATATGTTCATAAACTACATAACTAAGTAGATACATGAATATTAACAGAAACCTTGCAAAGATAAGTATGAAGAGAAATGTTATGGCTTCATTTCTAGTTCGGTACATGTGTATTAAACATCAAATCATGTAATCGCTTCAGTTTGTGGGTGACCTTAATGATGCCAGTAGTAATATGTTGTCTATGAAGAGAAACAATTATCAACAAGGACACGTAAAATACTGAGGAAAAAGGAAACAAAATTGACCAAAATATAAGGGTGGATAATTCAGAACATTTAAATAATAATTCAAGATAGAATTCGAGAAAATTAAAGGAATATGATTATTTGTAGAATGGTAAAAGAATGGGCATTTCTCATTTATAATGGAGATCAACTGGTATTTTTAGGTCTAAAACAGAATAAAAGTTGGAACAATATATTTATACTAGACGAAACAACTGCAAAATGAGGTTAGCTCAGCAGAATTCCAACACAACCAAGTGATAGATCTCAACAAAAAAGTGTAATAATGCAGATCCATTTACCTTGACTGCAGCTATTGGTTTAGTAAAAAGGTAACGCCATACCAACCCACTGTAGATAAATGATACAAAGGAGTTGCATGATGACGAAAGTCAAATAAAGATGGCAAATATGCAGTAGTGGATGTGAGAATGACCTGTTTCCTGAGGGAGGCACAGAACATACAAGGACAGCACCAGCAAGCTTTGGATGCAGAAGTGCTGAACCAATAATAAAAAAAAGTTACATCAGACAGATTTTGGATGTACTTATCAGTTGATGAGGAATAAAATATATTTTTTACTCTTCTAACTATACAACTGAATAATTTGAAACAGGAGACTTGATCATTACATATTACGTTTTGTAGGTAACCTAACATTGCAACACATATGAAAACAAATCACATCTTTGGGATATTATAGAAGAGGACTGAAGAGGATTTATAGAAATGCAGGTGAAGTATCTTGGATTTATCCTGTTTAACTTGTGTTTGTCATCCGCAGACAATTATAGAGGCACAGTTTGTGTATATTTATAGCATACTGTATAACCTCCGGGTTTCAAGCTCTCGTATCTAATTGGTATATACAATCTAAGAAGCAGACAGTACATCAATATTTATGCGTATCAGTCAACAACCATGATTCCTGTTTCGCTTAGCGTGTGTGAAATATAACAAATGACCAATTAGACAGAACAACTCAACTCATGAGTGAAAACAGTGAAAATAGGCAAATAAGAAACTTAAGATCCTCTGGGAAATAGCATCAGTTGTTCCCTCCGCATTTGACTTTATGACTAATCATATCAAGACAAAATTGCTCACTATGCTAAAGTATCTCCAATTAGTTTGATGTTTTGGCCCCAAGGCATGAAATCCATTTGGCAAGGGATTTTGGAAGTAGCAGATCTATGTAGCTGAAACTTTTAAGCTTGTGAATGATGCAAATTCAGTTAAGATGGAACATAAACATGTTAAACATGCAAAGAAATCTTTGAGGGATTATGCCTTGCAAGCATGATGTATATTGCTGCACAATCAAGCCTCCGAATGAATGTCCAATTAGTACAGGTGGCAAGGGGAGCTCCTTCTGGATGAAATCAGCAATATCACCAGTATGTGTCTACTGCAAGTCAATAAGATACTGGGGGTAAATCTAGTGAGACAATGAAGTGGGCCAGCTCTACAGAGTGAAGTATAAGTATTATAGTGCAATCTTTGGCTTAAACACGTTAATTGTCATGTGAGTTAGTATGTGACGGTGCTTGAAACTTCGTTCATAGTATATGCTTGATATTTCTCACTGTATTTCTTCAAATCATAGATTTATAGTGTTCACTAAATGATGACATCGGGACAAGTCAGTTTAAAGTGGTAAACAATCTAGAACCATACTTAATACTCCATAAATTCCAAATTATAAGACGTTTTGGCTTTTTCAGATACATTGTTTTTGCTATATATCTAGACATGTGTATATCTAAGTCCATAGCAAAAACTACATATCTACGAAAGCTAAAACGTCTTATAATTTAGAATGGAGGGAGCAGTATGTTGCATTCAAAGTTACACCCCAGTATACATTTGTCACACATTAATGAGTACTGGACCAGCAATAAGAATTAATTGACAGAACAGCATCAAGTAACGGAAATGTAGAACAGTTGAGACGATTTGAAACAGTCCACTGAAGCATAAAACTAATTACCTCAAGAGTGCCTGCCACTACCTCCTGTGGAACACTGCTTTCACCCTGCAAAGGTTGTCACCGAAGCAGCTAATGTCACATGGTCTACAAACAGATACTGGCAACTGGGCGATGCAACAGGTCAACTGAACTGTCACATGAACGATGCACCGACCAATGCAAGAGGATTCAAATATTCAGATAAAATGCTACACACATAGACTAATCCAGAGCCAGGGATTTGTAGCTGCTGCATTTTACTACTGAATTATGAGTAACGCAACCAGTTTTTCTGAGGGATGAAAAACACAACCTAGTGATGCATTTCGTCATTTTACCTGCGCGCGGAGGCTGAGGGCGTAGCAGGGGAACCCGGCCCGCGAGAAGAAGGGAAGCCAGTGCTCAGCCCAGCACCAGGCCGCGTGGAAGCTCCCGTGCACGAACACCAGGGGCGTGCGCTCTTCCGCCGCCGGCGGGCACTGCGCGATGACCTCGAGGTCGAGGCCGCACGGCAGGCGGTGGAAGCGGCGGGACTGGCCCTCTTGCAGAGCGTAGGCGCAAGCGGGGCGAAGGAAGGGCCTCGTTGTCCTCCTCCTCGCCGTCCGGGCCTGCGCTGGCGCCGGCCGTGAGGAGATGAAGAAAGGAGGAGCGCCGAGGGTGGCGTTGGCCATGGAAGGCGCCAATCGGATGCAGAATGATGGAGATGTGTTTTTTTTTTTAATGAATGATGGAGATGGGTGGACAACTGGACATGGAACAGCGGATAGATATCGATAAGAAAAAAGTGCAGAGCAACGCGATGGGCTGCGGAAGAGCTAAATAAACGCTCGCCCCAAATATAGAGTAACGGTTAGCTAAGCCCAGTACCACCCTGCTCGCTTAAGCTCTTTTACAGCCAGCTGCTGCTTCTTGCACAATAAATTGCGGTTTTCCTTCAGGCGCGTGAGATACGTCCGGACACTGCTCCGGTTCGCAAACTCGCCTGCCCCGTCACATAAAATCAAATAGAATTGCATCCACTGCACCCCTGCTCCCATTCCCCACCGCGCCCTGTTAGCCCCCACCGCGCCCTGTCTGAGAGAGCACGAAACACTTTAAGTGCAACATCGCAAATTATCTAAACTATGTAGTGCAGTGCAACGTCGAAAATTATGTGCTGCAATATAAAAAATTATATACTGCAACATCAAAAATATGTGCTGCAACATCTCAAACACTAGTACTGCAACATCACAAAATCAACCATTAAACATGGGAATGAAAACATCTCAAATCACCTTTTAGTGTTGCAACATATGAAAAAGGTAATTTTAACAATTAAAATAGCTTGTCACAACACTTAGAAAAAAGTTAAAACTCACACGTTGCAATATTAGGGAAAAAAATACAATCCCAATATTAGAATTCCCTTTCTGCAACACATGAATCACCTATTTGTAACATTCAAAAATCACCTGTTGCAACATTTCAAAAATTCCCTTACAACACGGAGAAAACAGCAAGGGGTTGGGTTCGAGGTGCAGTCTGCTTTAGCCTAGGCCCGTCACCTTCAAGTTCATCGGAGGGAGGAGGGAATAGGACCTCGGAGCTCGCCGGAACCCTAGTCACCGCCGCGTCTCTTAGATCCAGAGGAGGAGGAAGAGAAGGAGGGCTCAGATCTAGAGGAGGAGGAGGAGAGATCAGATCAAGAGGATGACCGACCTACCTCGTCGGAGGCGCCGCCGTCGTCCTCGTCTCTGGTGGGGGAGCGGGAGCCGGGTCGCTAGGGTGTGGGGTAGCAATGGAGGTCGCGGAGGGGGGAGGGAGGAAGTGTGGGCGGGCGGGGTGGCAGCGAGCTAGGCGCGGGCGCGGCGTCCGTCCGGGGCGTTAGCAGACCTGGAGTGCGGCGCGGGCGGGACGGCAGTGAGTTGGGCGCGAGCACAGCATAGGATGGGAGAGGCACGAGCGTTGCGGGAGTGAGCGGTCGAGGAAAGGATAAGGCGGTGTGCAGCATAGGTGGGCGGGTCCGGGCAGGTCGGGTCCGTGCGTCCGCCCGCTGTGTATCATTATTGAATAAACTGTGAGAGAATTTTGGCAGCAGCAGTTGCAGCACAGTTGCCTCCTTTCTCCTGCGGCTCTTTCCTCAGCAACAGCAGGGCGGTTTGGCTGGCACCCATGGCGGACGCCCAAACCCTGATATGCAAGTTCCCAGTGCCTCAGCCGACAAAAGCTCAAGCAGGCAAGGCTTCCGCGGCTCCGTACTCCCATCCTCACATATCGCGTTTCTTTGTCCGCCTGAACTCAAGCAGGCCTGGACTGATCACCAACATCAGGGCCAGCAGCAGGTACTCAGGCTGACGATCGGCCTAGATGCGAGGAATCCAATCCGTGTATTTTTCGTCTTTGGTTTGTACACAATTTGATCTCCCTGGTTAGTGATTGTAGTCGTTTAGCAGATTATTCATATTGGTAACTGATATAGTCATACGTTTTTCTCCTAATTTAGATGTTGAAATTTTATAATGTTACCTAAGTAATATTTATCTAGTGTTAAGAAAAAGAAGAAGAAAACTATAAGATCAGTTTACTCAACCAAAATAGGTGCTATCTATAAGCAAAGATTTTAAATCTACAACTATAACCAGAGATAGCTGCCGGAGAAGACAACAGCTAGGAGAACAAACTTTTAGCACTAAGTAGGGGTGTTTATTTTCACCTCCTAAACTTTAGTCGTTGTCCCATCGGATATTTAGATACATGTATGGAGTATTAAATATAGACTATTTATTAAACTAAATACACAGATTAAGACTGTTTTGCGAGACAAATTTTTTAAGCCTCACTAGTCTATGATTTGACAATATGGTGCTACAGTAATATGTGCTAATGATGGATTAATTAGGCTTAATAAATTCATCTCGCGAATTACCAACAGATTCTGTAATTTGTTTTTTATTAGTATCTGAACACCCCATGTGACACCTTCTAAACTTTAGTCCCTGAATCTAAACACCCCTAATCCTAGACGCTAATAGCTACGTTTAGCTCGAGATAGCCGTCGAATGGGCTTTTATTTAGCTACGGCTACAACACTGCCAGCCCCAGAAACTGGCAAACAGCTGGCCCAGGATGCCTCTACCGGTCCACCCACATAACCCTAAAAAAACTCTCCCACACTCTGTTTGCCTAAAAAAGGGTTAATTAATTGGATTTATGTCATTATAATTTTACCATTTTTGAAACACACCATTACTATTCAAAAAACTATGCCAGTGCCATTGGAACTATGAAGATGTTAGAAATACGTCATTATATATGTCTGGAGACGATTTTAGGCCCACTGTCAGGCATATGGAGTGGTCCCGTTATCCATATGGACAAGATTGCCCCCTTCATCTTTCTCTCTCACATCCACAAACACATGGGGCCCACTCGTCAGCCTTCCACACGTTCTCCCTCCCCCTCTCTCTGTTGTCTTCTTCGTCTCTGGTCACCTGCTGGCAGCGGGGGCACGACTCGGTCGACCACACGCTCGCCTGGCTGTAGTGCAGTAGTGGCGCGGTGGCCCACCTACACGCAAGCCCGGCGGTGGCGCCGGAGCCCGCGTGCGCTCGCCGACAATGGCGCGACCGCCTCCTTGTCCTGTGGTGTCATAGCAGCGCGCACGCATGTTGGCGGTCTCTATAGACCAAATCCGACCGCCAAATAAGTCAAAAAAGAGGAGAAATTAGCAATCTTAATCACATATGCATTTACTATTAATTAAGTTCCACATGTATTTGGAGAACATTATTTTACAGGTCACAAACACAAATACATGGAATAATTCACCGAAAGACGCTTTCCGATACTGATTTGCGTAAAGGAACAAGGAAGACGCCCACCAAATCAATTCAAATGGGGCAAAACCTCACGGGGAAGCAATCCTGGTCCAGCCCACGGCCTACCAGGCGAAGGCGGTGGCGAGAGACCACGGTCAAGGGGCGGTCGACCCCTAGGGACGCCCGACCCCTTGCCGACGCTGCTCAGCCCCTCCTTGCTGTGGCGGTGGCATGGAGCCATGCTAAGGCGGTGGGAGCCGGTCCTCATGCCAATTATAGCTCGTAGCACCGCCTATGCTCCTGTATAAGTAGAGGGGTACCCTGTGGCAGAACCTCCTAAATTATAGGGCCCACATGCACCTGTCACTGTCCAACGACCTTTGACATTTATGCATATGTTACCGATAACTTAAGAAGACTGTCGGGTGTCCTCGGAGAACCCCGAATCATCCACGATTCCGAGCGGGATCACATTACTGAGTCATTGCAAGTATTACAACATTTATCCAAATATCAACACAGAGTAAATCAATGAAGTCTTACAATAACTTAGTTTACAAAACATTTATTTCAAACCTTACAAACTAAGTTCGATTATTAATACAAAAGCGTAGTAGTGGAGTGGCATTATAATATATACAAAACACACAAATATATGCCGCCTAAGGGCCACACATTACTTATCATCAACGCCATTGAACAAACGGTCATGCAAAGACGATCCAAAACAGATCGCCATGAGCCTCACCGCAACAAGGGTCAACAAACCACGAGTACGAAAGTACTCAACAAGACTTAACCGAAATGAAAACCGATAAGACTCGGGAATGCAGGCTCAGGGATTCAAGGTATGGCTTTAGCAATAATCAAAGTTCTTTTGCTTAAAAGCACTTTAACAAAATTCTTTGTATCAATAATTAAAATCTCATCAGATCATATACAAAGCTGACACGATCCGTAATAAGATCATGAAACTTCATATCCAACACTTTCTCGAACCATTCTCGAGTTCCAGTTATTAATCTACGATGATGATCAGAGAATTGAGTCTCCATAACCGAGGAGCAACGACGATTCGAACCGATTATAAACCCAGCTTGGGAATTCCAGACCACACGACATATGTAGGTCCCCGACCTACATATATCAACCTACCCTTGGATCCTCTGAAACAAGAACGGGTCCGCGCCACCCGAGAGCACAGCACACCTCAAATCCGGCCACATTCCAGCCACGAGGGTACACGCTACTCCGCCATCTCTCCACTCCCGGTCTGTGAGTAGCCATTCTCGTAATAGAATCGCCAAGTTTAGGCTTACCGGAGTATGTGGTTAGTACTACAAATTCTCAACTCACACAGGTCAACAGCAGTGCGGACCTTAAATCGAGGCAGCAGAAGAACCGCTCACAAGACCTCCATGTCTTGTGGCTCACACACACCAAAGTCCGCCTTGGGTCTAGATTTATTACTCCACATTCCCATATCACATGCTAACATAATTAACCAATGTTCCATTTAAAACTCGCAGTGGTGTGGTATCACCCAACTACGATCGGTCTAAGCGAGCTAAGCATAACTAGGCATATACGATTTTTAAGCGGGTAACAAAGTAGATATGGAACAACAAGGTTGATAATGCAACAATTAGGTTTCCACTTGACTTCTAATCACTTAATGCAATATTGAAAAGCAAAAGCGAAATCAATTTGTAAAATACAAGGTAAGGTTATATGCATCCGGGCTTGCCTTCGTTGGACGGAAAAAATCGGCTCTGCGACGTTTCACACGTCTTCGATCCGACTTCAACAGACAGATCAACCTCCTCCGCAACTTGATTAACTACCATGCGTTCACCTTCGTTTACTACACG